AGGCCAGACAGCAGAGGTTGTTGTGAACGATGCTGGATTGGAGGAGGCTCAGGTAAGAATTGGGGAACTGGGGGCCACTGCACGCAGAAGGTGTATTACCTTCATGCATAGAATACATGAAGGTAAAAAAAACTTCTGCCTTTACAACCAATTTAGGCTGCAATTTTGTGAATATTGCAGGCTTATGTATGAAAAATGTGCTAACATAAACATTAAAGTGGTTCTAAAGCCTTAAGGATTTTCACCTTCATTCATTCTATGCATTAAGGTGAAAAACCTTCTGTGCTGCAGCTACCCCCTATTTTTTTTTACCTGAGCCCAATCCGATCCAGCAATATGCAGGAGAGCAGCGGCTCTAGCCTCTGTCTCCCTCCTCATTGGGCAGACTGATAGCAGCAGGAGTCCATCAAAGGCTGTGACACAGGAGCGGGGCCAAGACGTCCGCTCTGTGTCAATGGACATAGGGAGGCCTGGGAGTAAGTCCGTACGGGTGCCCCATGAGGGCACCCGCCGAAGAGGAGGGCCAGGAGCGTGGGCAGGGGACCCCAGAAGAGAAGGATGGGGGCTGCTCTGTGCAAAAGCACTGCATATAGCAGATAAGTATAGACATGTTTGTTATTTTAATAAAATAAAAAAAACAAAGGTTTAATATCACTTTAGGGGTTGCCTATCAGCTCTCAATTGTCAATTCTGCATTGCAGAGCTGAAAATGAAACAAAGATTCTTTTTCAGACGTGTTCCTGTTAGGAACATAAGTTGCACAGAGAACCTATTTTGGAAGTAAAAAAACAATGACCTATAAAACATGTTTTGACCCACTATTGTACAACTGCATAGTTTTGTTACAGCGATAAATGCTTTGTTTAAGTGGCACAGCATTAAACTGCGGAAGTTCGTGTGAAGATTGTGATTTCTTTTTTTAAGACCATTCTATTTGCAGGAGCAAAGATATTTTAACTATAGCTTGTGTGATAATGCATTTATGTTATATAAGTTTAATTAAACTAACAAAAGCACATTTTTTTTTAAGTTTCGGATGATTTAGAACCTCTATTAGGTTTTTATTGCTATTTACAGTATGTATGCACTGGATAGATTTTCCCTCACTTCCTGTTATCCTGTAATTTGGAGAAGATGTACGAGAAAATCTCTCCTGGCAAGACACAAACATGAATAAAAATATACATTTAGGTTGGATTCATACTGTTAAGGTGCATCATGCCACATGTTAAGGTAGTCTATATACATCAATACACACCATAAAAAGGTATATGCACTATTTTTTATAATGTAATGCACCAAAATGCACAGTAGTGTGTTATTTTGCATTGTGATGTGTTTCATGCAGGTGAATTGGGATAAATGCACTGCAGGACAACATACATAACATAACATAACATACACGCATATTCTCATGTTAACAACGCAACCCTAGAGTGCTGAAAGGTTAGAATTACTGTATTGAATTGTATTGTACTGAATTGAAATCGCACCTGAAATTGCATCTAGTGAATGTCAGCGTCTTAACATGTGCGGTTTGCTGCAGCAGGATTTCTAAATTAGTTCTGGCATTACTTTTTCTGCAGTTTTGTTGCGATTTCACATACATAGAATATAATGGAAATTGCACTGCAAATTGCAAGAAATAGTTGAAAATCTTCACAAGTAGCAATAAATTCTTCAGAAATCGCGCTGAAATTGCACACAAATCGCGTGATTTTAAATCGCAGTGGTGTGACCGGTGACTTAGGGTCCATGCACACTAGGCTCCTGAAGAAATGCCAGAACCTCTGGCAAAAATAGGTATGCTCATAAAAAATACTCATAATGGCTTGTATTGCACACGCATTTATGCGCATCAAGCATTTTTTCTACCTGAAAGCCCCTCTCAAAAAGTGCACTTGTGATGAGATTTTTTTCAGCTTGTAAAGTTCCTCTTCAAATATGCCTGTAAACACCCAAATGTGCATGGACACAAAGACTACCATAGGGTTGCTGCTACAGGCTGAAAGAAAAAAAACTACAAACATCTGTATAAGAAGCATTTTCAGACTGGCTGGGCCACGAAGAGATCATGCACGTGGGAGTCACGGTTTACGGCACAGACTTCTGAAGGAACGGAACGGTGTGCCCTTCCTTTAGAGCTCATGTGCCGTGGTGTCACGGCTTCTGCTCCATGGAATATCTTCTAAATGGTACACATTTAAGAGATATTTATTTGATCTACAGGCAAGCTCTATTATAAGCTTATTTGTAAGTAAAAGTACCAGAAACAATTTTACTACCAATTTAAGGCTGTTGAATATTAATTTGCAATTTGTGTGCAAAAATGTTTGTCTTGAGAGTAGTGATGAGATGAATGTCCTCCGGCTGGGTTCAGTGAAGAAATGCTATTGATGTTCAGATCAAAAATCTGAACATATTGAAATAAATGGATCCAAATGTTCATTTTCAGTAATGGTCCATTGTAAAACTAAAAGTCAACAGACTGACACATAAGGGACGTGTGATGCCTGGTACTGGCCTGGAGGGCTTGCATCAAAAAATTCATTTTTAAAAATGATTGTTCAATGGGAGAGGCCATTTTGAAGCAGCTCAATGGGCAACATAAAACTATGCAGTTCATTTAAAAAACATGCTTGATACCTTCATTGTCAATGTGTCAGGGCTCCGGGGTGTGACCAGAGGTATGTGACTGACGCAGGGAAACGCAGGCTTCAGATAAGTTATAAACAATATAATTTATTAAAGACTAACAATACAAACATAAACGCAGTGCAATACTAAAACATAACACAGTGCAAACGAACCAAACCACCCACAGATAACAGTACATACAATGCAAGCGTCGTCAGGCAGGCCGGGTCAATAACAATCGGGCAGGTAGGTACAGGGGGTCAGGCAGAGAATGGTCGGGGTCACAAGCCAGGGATGAAACAGGAGAAGTCAGCAGAGGTCCGGATCAGGCAGGGTCAGCAACGAATCAGACAGAGACAGGGACAGGAACAGGAACAGGCACAGGGATGCAGGAACAAGAACCAGGGCCCAGGAAAAACACACACCAAGGCCGAGACTGCAGGTCTGGCCATCCCTTAAATACACCTGTATAATCAACTTCAGGTGTTTGGCTGGCTGCAGGGTTGAGTCTCTGATTGCTGGGAGCACCCGCTGGCCAGCCCTGGTACTGCAGCCCACAAGGCAGGAGAGTCCCACCATTACTGGCAAGTCCATTCCTGACAGTACCCCCCCTCAAGGAGCGGCCTCAGGACGCTCCAAACAGGCCTAGCTGGGCAAAATGTTCCACCGCCCGGGTCTGGTAACTGGCGGGATATCAAAGACTGGCACATCGGGCAGGACTCCGGGCAGCGGCACATCGGGCTGGACTCCGGGCAGCGGCACATCGGGCTGGACTCCGGGCAGCGGCACATTGGGCTGGACTCCGGGCAGCGGCACATCGGGCTGGACTCCGGGCAGCGGCACATCGGGCTGGACTCCGGACAGCGGCACATCGGGCTGGACTCCGGGCAGCGGCACATCGGGCTGGACTCCGGGCAGCGGCACATCGGGCTGGACTCCGGGCAGCGGCACATCGGGCTGGACTCCGGGCAGCGGCACATCGGGCTGGACTCCGGGCAGAGGCACATCGAGCTGGACTCCGGGCAGAGGCACATCGAGCTGGACACCGGATCACCAGGCGGAGCAGCGGGCACCGGGCCACCAGGCGGAGCGGCGGGCACCGGGCCACCAGGCGGAGCGGCGGGCACCGGGCCCACCAGGCGGAGCAGCGGGCACCGGGCCCCCAGGCGGGGCGACGGGCACCGGGCCCCCAGGAGGGGCGACAGGCATCGGGCCCCCAGGCGGGGCGACAGGCATCGGGGCGACAGGCATCGGGCCTCCAGGCGGAGCGGCGGGCGCCGGGCCCCCAGGCGGGGCGACAGGCATTGGGCCCCCAGGCGGGGCGACAGGCATCGGGCCCCCAGGCGGGGCAACAGGCATCGGGCCCCCAGGAGGAGCGACGGGTGCCGGGCCCCCAGGCGGAGCAGCGGGCACCGGGTCATCAGGCACGACAACAGGCATCGGGTCTCCAGGCATCAGGTCATTTGGCTCACCATGTCATCTGGCAAGGCAGTGGGCACCGAGTCACCAGGCACGACAGTGGGTTCCGAGTCACCAGGCATGACCACGGGCACTGGGTCAGACATTGGATCGTCTGGCTCGACAGTGGGCATTGGGTCACCAGGCATCAGGTCATTTGGCTCGCCAGCGGGCACCGCGTCATCTGGCAAGGCAGTGGGCACCGAGTCACCAGGCACGACAGTGGGCTCTGAGTCAATTGGCACGACAGCGGGCACCGGGTCATCAGGTACCGGATTGTCTGGATCGACAGCGGGCACCGGGTCATCTGGCGTTGGATCGTCTGGCTCGACAGCGGGCATCGGGTCACCAGGTATGACAGCGGGCACTGGGTCACCAGGCATCAGGTCATTCGGCTCGCCAGCGGGCACCGCGTCCTCTGGCAAGGCAGTGGGCACCAAATCACCAGGCACGACAGTGGGCTCCGAGTCAACTGGCATGACCGCGGGCACTGGGTCAGACATTGGATCGTCTGGCCCGACAGCGGGCATCGGGTCACCAGGCATGACAGCGGGCACTGGGTCATCAGGCATGAGATTGTCTGGCTCGACAGCGGGCATCGGGTCACCAGGTATGACAGCGGGCACTGGGTCACCAGGCATCAGGTCATTTGGCTCGCCAGCGGGCACTGCATCATCTGGCAAGACAGTGGGCACCGAGTCACCAGGCACGATAGTGGGCTCCGAGTCATCTGGCATGACCGCGGGCACTATGTCAGACATTGGATCGTCTGGCCCGACTGCGGGCATCGGGTCACCAGGCATCAGGTCATTTGGCTCGACAGCGGGCACCGCGTCATCTGGCAAGGCAGTGGGCACCGAGTCACCAGGCACAACAGTGGGCTCTGAGTCAATTGGCACGACAGCGGGCACCGGGTCATCTGGCGCTGGATCGTCTGGCTCGACAGCGGGCATCGGGTCACCAGGCATGACAGCGGGCACTGGTTCATCAGGCATTGGATCGTCTGGCTCGACAGCGGGCATCGGGTCACCAGGTATGACCGCGGGCACTGGGTCATCAGACGTGATATGATCATCAGGCTGGATCAGTTCATCAGGCTGGGTACAGACATCAGGCTGGGTACAGGCATCAGGCTGGGTACAGGCATCAGGCTGAAGTGCGGGTGCCGAGGCACCAGGCTGAACCACGGAAGGCAGGTTCTCAGACGACAGGCTCACCGGTTTGGATACTGGCAGGATGGTATTGGTTGGAAAGAATTTCTGCTTTTTTCTGGTTTTAACTACTGGGGCACTGCAAGTAAACACAGGTCTGCAAACGAATGGAGCAGCTGAGGACAGAGAAGAGCTGGAAGATGGAACAGAGGAGGGAGCAGTTGCTACAGAGGACTTCTTTACCGGGTTAAAGAAAGGATAGGTGCAGCGAGTGGGAGCAGAGGACTGGTATGTGGTAGTTAGAGTATACTGGGCAGTCACTGGGGGTGCTGTCGGGGATGCAGGAAGAGTGTCTTGAGTGGAGGAATGATGTTGTAAGCTGACTGAGGCTGACCATGTCTGCAGTATGGGTTGAACAAAGCTCAGTTTACACAAAGCCTGTCTGGTCAATGACTGCACTGCGTTTATACAATCTCTTAGTATCTGTGGTGAACATGCAGAATAACGCTCCAGAAAGTAATCCACATCATCCTCTAATAACCATACCAGGGACTCTACCTGGTCGGCACTAAATGGCGGCAAAAATTCATCCCTGCATTCGGGGGTACCAGATGAAACCAACTCAGCACAAACCTGAATCAATGGCTGCACCTCAGAGAACTCTGTGCCCTGATCTACTAGGCAATGAGCGATCCGTATACATTCTAGCAGTTCATCCCGGGTATACTCCTTCAGAGTTTGATAAGCATACTCTCTGTCATCAAACACTAGCAGAGATAAATACACAACCTCATCAAGATCCATCCTTCCCAGCAACAAGCCAAGATGGCTTCCCTGTGCAGCCACTTCTGGTCAGGATTGGCCTTGGTGTAATGTCAGGGCTCCGGGGTGTGACCAGAGGTATGTGACTGATGCAGGGAAACGCAGGCTTCAGATAAGTTATAAACAATATAATTTATTAAAGACTAACAATACAAACATAAACGCAGTGCAATACTAAAACATAACACAGTGCAAACGAACCAAACCAAACCACCCACAGATAACAGTACATACAATGCAAGCGTCGTCAGGCAGGCCGGGTCAATAACAATCGGGCAGGTAGGTACAGGGGGTCAGGCAGAGAATGGTCGGGGTCACAAGCCAGGGATGAAACAGGAGAAGTCAGCAGAGGTCCGGATCAGGCAGGGTCAGCAATGAATCAGACAGGGACAGGGACAGGCACAGGGATGCAGGAACAAGAACCAGGGCCCAGGAAAAACACACACCAAGCAAGGCCGAGACTGCAGGTCTGGCCATCCCTTAAATACACCTGTATAATCAACTTCAGGTGTTTGGCTGGCTGCAGGGTTGAGTCTCTGATTGCTGGGAGCACCCGCTGGCCAGCCCTGGTACTGCAGCCCACAAGGCAGGTGAGTCCCACCATTACTGGCAAGTCCATTCCTGACACAATGACACAATTTATGAAACAAAGAGTAACCGAATTGTAACCTTCCCAAAAAAATGGGCTGCCTTTATTCACAGAGTGAGGAAGGACAAATATTATAGAGCTGATACATACCTTTTGAAACCTTTTTGTGAGAGAAAGACAAAGCAGATTGAACTTTATATACTTTTTTCCATGCACATGTGCAAATTAAAGTACCACCAGCACACCTTTTATACCCTTTTTTGGGGGGGGGGCACTGTTTCTATGATACAGATCGGGCAGATTTAACTATACAACTACTTCAACAGATTTGATCTACATTAACAGTTCTTTTTTAAGTGAAGGCAATTTATGACACAGAGAGAAGTAATATTTCAGCCAGCAGCAATCAATCAGCCTGTTATTTTCCTGAATAAAAGGACTGTTGGGTCTTAGGAAATCAAAGTGAATGCAGATGGGTTTGCATTTCACTCTCCCTAGCCAAACAAACTGTAAAGTATCAGTATGAAATATAGAGCACTGAATATAGTACTGTATATGCTGTAGCTCTGAGCAGGGTTGTTTTTAGCCGGTACATGATGGCCCTGTGCTTGCCATTCACTACTGTTACAATTGACAGCGTTACTTTCTTGGCAGCTCTACTGAACCATCCCTGCCTTGCATATCCCCATGACCAGGGGCGGACTGACCATTTGGAAACTCGGGCACGGCCCGAGGGCCTGGGGTCAGTAGGGGGCCCCATGAGATGCCCCTGGTACCTTTTTCATAGGCTTTTTTGAGTTTGGGCAAGCACACAGGGGCCCCATGATCCCCTATTGCCCAGGGACCCCATAAGTTGTCAGTCTGCCCCTGCCCATGACAGTAGAGGAGTGGGAGAGGGCATATAAATACCCATGCTAGTCTGGAGTCACAGCTGCTCCTGAAGCCTGGGCCTGCCCTCAGCTTGTGCTCTCCACACTTCTCCTGGGGTAAGTTGTAGCTGCTCTTATGCTCTTATGTAGCAGCAGTTGTCTTTCTGGTACTGTCAAGGTGGGGAATTTGGTGATAGAAGGGGGGGGGGGATTTTTGGGAAAAAAGGTTATCATTTTTGGTTGTAAAATGGCCAGTGAGATTTGCACTCCTGAACTCTGCACTCTGCATGTGGCACACTCCTGAACCCTGCACTCTGTGTTTAGCACACGCCTGTACACTGCACTGTATTTGTAGCACACTCCTGAACCCTTCACTTTGTACGTAGTACACTTCTGAACCCTGTACTCTGTACATTGTGAAGAAGCAGGAGTGCTTCGAAACGCATCCCTGTATTCTGGGGTACACAGTGCTGACAAGAGGAGGCTTTCAGTTCTTGGACTCTAGACCTTGCAGCAGCTCCATCCATCTCTGGCAGCAGTGTCATTTCCACTTCAGCCCGTGCTTTTCCCAGCCAGTGGTCAAGCTGGGGATCTGGAATAACTCATACACTGAATCTGGGCTTATTCTCCAAGCCACCTTACAATCCTCTATACCCCATAGTTTGTGAGTGCAACTACTGATTTTATTTTGTCCATTAAACTTCCTTATGCATGCTACACTATGGGATGTGTTCTCCTCTCTTTCCTTTTTTGTTATACACAGGTTTGCAGCATAAGTCCATGCAGCTCAGCAGCAGCACCCTCTTCGTATAGCAGCTTTTGGACTGTTTTCTTAATTTGAGCTACCTGCTTTTAGATATTATATCCATATTGCTTTTTCACTGTTTGTATATTTTATCATTTATTAGATATATATTGCACTTTTGGATTGATATATTTATTCTCAGACTCATATTTAGAATTTCATTGTTTTTTTTTTCATCACACTCACACCATCCTAATCATTCTCTGAAAATTGCTTAGCTAGTTGCTAAGCTACCTTATTGGGCTCATCACAGGTGATATTTTCCTGGAGGTGTGCACAGTTTGTTACACAGGTTTCCCTGTAACACTATCCACTTTGGCTTTCCTCACTCCTGAACCTTGTGCATTGTGTATTCTTAAAATGCATGTAGCACACTTTTGAATTCTGAACTCTGTATGTAGCAAACTCCTTAACCCTGCACTCCTGAACACTACACTCTGTACATTGTTTATTCCTAAACCCTCCACTCTGTATGTAGCACACTCCTGAATCCTGCACTGTGTACATAGCACAATCCTGAACCATGAGCTCTGTATGTAGTGCCCCCCATGAGCATTTTTTATTTCCAGTCTGCATGCCGTCCTAATGTCTGTGTCCTCACTGGGAAGATTTTCCCACACTTCTTTTCATGGTGAAACAATAAGTGTCATGTTGTTTCAAGATGTCAGCAAGTTCAGGAAATGAGAGGAAGTCTCCCCAAAAGAGAAGTAGCAATAAATAACCTGATAGAGGTTCTAAGCCTTCCTCAATCTAAAACTAAAACCCAAATAAATTAGGCTGGATTAGGGCTTTATAGTGAATCCCACATGCTTAAACCAAATATGTTGCTGTATGTGTAATGTCAAAAAATTTAATACTTTATGTCTTGCTTTTAAAGTGATTGTAAATCTTGTTTTTTTTTTTTACCTGCTTTAGTTTTGCACAGAGCAGCCCTCAATCCTCCTCTTCTGGGGTCCCCCACCAGCTCTCCTGGCTCTTCTTCCCCGGCAAGTGCCCTCATAGCAACCCCTCATGAGTCCCACTCTGTGTGTCCATAAGACACACAGAACATGGCTTGGTCCCGCCCTCCCTCCTCACTGGCTGTGATTGACAGCAGTAGGGGCAGTGGCTCCTACTGCTTCCTCTGAGCCAATGAGGAGGTAGAGAACCTTGGCTCTCGTGCACATCGCTGGATTGAGATCAGATTCAGGTAAGTAAAAGAAGGGGGGGGGGGGGGGGCAGAAGCTGCATGCAGGTTTTTTTTTTTACCTTAATGCATAGAATACATTAAAGTAAAAAAAATGCCTGCCTTTACAACCACTTTAATTATATCATACCAAGGTGTATCCACAAACACGTCCTTAACTAGTGTGGCAATCCTTACACAGTACATCTGCAGCGTTGTCACACTTTTCCTGTGTACTACTAGAGTTAGACCAGCGGTAGACCAGAGTGCTCTGGTACATTCTACCATGCTGAAGAGCCTGAATAATAAGTAGCTTGAGGACAGAAAAACATTTATTATTAAAATGGACCAATCATGTAAGATCCACTTACCCTTCAGTCCCAAACCCTTACCCCATCAAAATTGTTTTGCTAACTGAAGTATTAACAAAAAAAAAATAAAGCATAAGAAGATTCCAGCAACTTAGTTCCTACTGCCTACAGCCTCATATGGGATCCTTGAAGAAACGAGGACCCCACCTGACATGTGCAGATGCTCTATCATCACTGTGCATAAGCTCATTAATGCAGGATTTGGCATCCTCAGCTTTCCCAGGATCCATCAATCCATGGTGTCACACTTTCCTATTGACAGCAGAAATTGAGATATGTATTTTTTTTTCCAGTTACTAACCAAGAACAAGTATGGTAATAACTGGTTAACTCAGCTTTCAAACTACAAGATCAGCAAACAGCCAGACAAGAGTTCAGAAATGGCAGTCCATATTTTACTTAGGAACACTTTGCTTCAATCCATTGCTAAGCAATTTAAAGTGTACAGTTGCAAGAAAAAGTATGTGAACCCCTTGGGATTACGTGGAGTTTTGCATGAATTGGGCATAAAATGT